CTTAAGGTGAAAAATTATGCGGAGGAAGATCTTTTGCTGATCTTATTGGCTGTGCGACCCAGCTGAAAGCATCGAGACTCAAGCTGAGAATCCTAGTACAAAAAGGGCCAGTGCCCAGGCTTGTGTAGAGCTGACACTTCCGCAGCTTTTCAAGTATCTTGTCGATGGGAGCCTTTCGAGCCCTGTACGAGCAAAGACATCTTTGCGAGCGAGCAAGGAAGGGAGAGAGAGAGAGAGAGAGCGAGATTTTGGCTCCAGTCCGTCGGGGAAACCGGCTCTCTCCCTTCGCGGGCTTGAGCCCCCGCGCTGCCACCTCGTTCAAGCGAAACTGGGAAGGCTACACCCCAAATTCCTTGGGATCAAGTGTATTTCTTGGGGGGGCGGGGGTCCTTGGACTGAGTTTGAAACGATGGGGAACTGGACTACTTTGCTTCTTTCAGGGGAACCCTAAAACTGTGGCGCCAGGAGGAGGAAACAGATAGTGGTGCAGTGAACTGACGTTGCATACTGCAATGTGGGAGTTGTAAATGTCCTGCAGGCATCGCTTCTTGAAGTCATGCCCAGGACCTCGCACCTGGGAAGCTATGGACATCCTCCACGCAAGCCTCGTCGAGTACGACTCCAGCCCCACCCCCACCCGCCCCACAACGCCAAGGAGGAAGGCAAAATGACGGAAAAGAAGGAGGAGATCCCATGGAAACTCAGGGGAATGGCCTGTGCTGGCGTGTGGGGTGTCTTTGATGTTGCTGGGAAAATGGTTTCCGAAAAGTGTTTTCTCGCTCCAAGAGCCACTTTTCTGCGAACAGTAACTTTTGCGAAAAGAAACCTGGAAGACGTGACAGCTTAAGCCCCCCGATCCCCGAAGCTATGCCCTCAGAACAGCCAAAGAACGCCCGAAAGCCAGAAACCTTAACCGCTGTGTGCTGGTTCGTTTCTTGCCTGGATAAGATGATTCGGCACTCGCGCAGTGCCCGCAAAGTTGCCCAACACAGTCGGAGGTTCCCCGCAAAGCCGGAAAATTTCCCGAAGTCCTGTCAGCGGCGCACTGTGTCTCCGGGTTTTGCCCCTATGCCCCACGAAAGCAAGAAATCTCCCGCCTAGCAACTGGCCGGCGCGGCTGGGTCCCTCCTGGGATTTCAGGCGAGCAGAGGAAGAAGATAAGGGGGCCGCGATGGACATACCCCTTTTGGCCGACATGGCATACATGGCCCTCCTTTACTGAAAAAGCGCAGCGCCAGAAGCAGAGAAGAAGATGAGACCTTCCCGAAGTCAGGAATTTGGATGGCTAGGGGTCTAGGTTTATGCTGCAGATCACTGTTCCCGAGATTCGGCCTGGCGAAGCACCGCCGGCACTGGGGCAAACGGCCCGAAGAAACCTGGGGCGTCTTCTTGGAGCTGCTGGATGCCCGGCAAGAACCGCAGGCTAAGGCCGCATTGCTTGCTGATGACGAGTTATTGAACACGATTTGGGATTTTAGGGTCCTTTGCAAACGGAAGCTCTGCATTCGACCGTGACGATTCATTTTTGTCTCGGCTCCTCTTTTTCTTGTGTAGTAAACTTCGTTCGCAAAAAGGCTTTGGCCCCTCTGGATATGATACCAGCAAGAATGACACATAGCTTGACTATTCATCACTCAAGCACATGCAATGTTCAAATGCTGGTACGCTGGCTTGGCCAACCGGATTTGGATGCTCAATACGCGGGATGATGGCAGAGAGAACCAGTGGTGGGGCGATGGTGCCCAGTTGCCAGCTTAGCACAAGCAGACATAAAGGCAAAACGCCACAAGCATGGGGAAAAGTGAGCCGACATCCCCAAACAGACAACATGTTCATTGGAGAGGCATGTCTCATCTTCAACAAGGTTGCAGCTTCCTTTGGGGCACATGTGTTCATGCAACTCTAGCCACTGCTAATTATTGGGACACGAGCTTTGGACCATTTTGGATAGATGCACCGAGGACGACATTCTCAGAACCAAGAACAAGAAACAGGTGACACATTTGCAGGCATTGTGGGCGGTGTGGACGGTTCGTGAGCTCGAGATGTCGGAAGTTTTGGTATTGCACAGCTGCATAGGCACTTTCTGTACTAGGTTGAGCCATGCCAAGGCATAAATAGACATACGAAAATAGATAGACATGTTACACACATATATATTATAATATGTATATACATACATATACAGATACCTGTGCCCATATGCATACATATATATATATATACACACATATCTCCCTGTGGGGATCATAGGGCTGGCCACTGCCATCAGCCTCCAGGCGAGAGAGTGGGAGTCCTTGCAGCAATGGATCTCGGGCGGCTTGGCTGTAACATGCTGTAACTGTAAAAGGCCTCTGTGATAATTCTTGGGGGAATGATGCCGGACTCTTCTACTTTCTACTGTAGGATGTCCCGCCATGCGTTGCGCAACCTTCAAAGACTTGTCTTTTGCGCGACCAGCATTCGCATCTCCGAGACTTGCAAAGTTGACTCTGCCTGCAGGCCTTGTGAAGTTTGCGATGGGGCCGTGTAGACATGCTGCCGATCGGAGGGTCTGCGTAGCCCAAGGATACGAACCAAAGCAGATCGTGGGCATCCTCAACGCAGCGATCGTCTTCCACTCGCTGCCAAGCCCGAACAGCACCGTGCGTCTAGCTCACGCCATGGGCGTGCGGTGAGTGGGCACAAAACGTCAACGAGCCCTCGCAAGTGTCCCAAATAAACCAGGATCGTCTAAACCCAGAGAGATGTGATTACGGTACAGTCGAGGGGCTTGTAAGCGATTGGCCTGCTTGCTGCTTGCCGTATGGCCGTGGGCCTTGGCAGAAATGTTTAGAGTGTTTGTTCTTATGTGCGTCGACAAGGGCCACTGGCTCACTCTGAGTCCTGACAGCGCCTTTCACTGCGCATGGTCCGTCACGCACACTGCTTTCCATGTCCTAGATGGACTATGGGTATCCACAATGGAAACATTGGCCGTTTTCAAACCATTTCGCGATCTACACTCGCGAGTCAATCACAGCATGCCGTGCCGGATTGTCGAAGCTCCTGTGTTGCATGTTGCAAAGGTCGTCAACGATTGTACGGCCGTGTTCAATGCAGTATCGATAGAAATGTAGCACAGCATGGACGGGCTAGTCACTGCAGGTTGTGGAGCGGAATCGAGTATGTCGAGTCTATGTAGGTAGGTCTTAAATGCCCCGCGTCACCACGAGTACTGCAACTGGAGCGCAGGAAGCCGCATATCATTCTGGACGGCCTCATAAGCTGATGTTGCTGCCGCTGTGCCTGGGTTTGCCGCTTGCGTGGGTAGTGCCTACGTTACGTTCCCACAGCTTGCTGCTTTATTTGTTGGGCTGGCAACAGCAGACATCGAGCTTAGACCTCGGACAGTTGCCATGCAGGCGCATGGGTTTCAATGCGGCTAACGGAAGTCCGAATGTCACATCAGATATGCAAGTAGCCTCGGTTGATTTCGCAAGGCCATCCGGCGTCTGCAGTCTTTTCTTGTACGTCAAGTACTAGACAATCATTGCTGGCACTGGCAAATGCCAGAGTGACGATGCGACATGGCGAGCAGGCAAGAGAAAACCTGCCTGTTTCAAGCCGAGTGTCTCCGTCTGTCTCCAGATTGTGACCGGTTCTGCACGAGCCAAGAACCGTCGGAGGTCACTTTCATTTTCTGGGCCTGCTCCATTGGAGACCGTGAACGATGCACCATGTACAATTCCATTCCAGCTTCAATTCATTCTCAGTTAACATGTTCTGCTCAAAACGAGGCCTGGGCAGTGTTTAATGTGTTTAATGGAATTCGACTTTCAGTAGCTGCGACACGCAGGCCACCCCGGAGTAACTGTGAAATTCGTTTTCTCCAGCCAAAGTACCTGCGCCGTGCAAGACCTGGAAGATCGGGCTGATCGCAACCAGGGCGGTGTTTTTCTCGATTTTCTTGGTCCCATGTTCAACTGTTCTACGCATCCGTGAACCAAAGCCTAGTTCAGCAGTTTGTTGAACAGTTAAGCCAGTGAATTGAGTGCCTCCATTGCGTTGATATACTGCGGAGAGAGAGAGAGAGAGAGAGAGCACGAAAAGAACGAAAGAGGAACGAAGTTGAAGCCTATCCAGGTTCTGCATGGTGCTCGAGGCACGCCCCGACAGCAAAGGGATTTGGTAGGTCCGACCCGCTTTTCTCATTCGAGGGCACCATGTACCAGCTTCGGACACGGCTTCATGCTTGTGAGCAGAGTGGAAACGATAGGTCCTTTTAGAGTAAAGTCACGGCCGATGGCTGGTGCAGCGGGTGCAGACATCCTTTTCATGGATGTGTTTTGGATTGGCAGTTCCCTTTGGACGTCCATGCATGGCCAGACAAGGGCATCAAGCCCACGTATGTATGCGAGGCTGGGAAGCTGAGTCGTTGCAGCGGTAGTGTGTTCGGCGCCGTCTGTGCCCATGCGCATCGGAAAGATGTTATTGCAATTATATGCTGGAAAGGGGAGGAATGCCCTCCAACCTTCTACTCCGGGAAGTTGCATGCCTTATATCAGATCTGTGACGGGTCTCGCTGTGGCAGCTGGACAACCGGGAGAGGGCTGGGAAGCTGGAGTCGGACTTGATGCCCAGTCTCATTGTTTCAGCCAAATCTGTGGGCTTACAAGTCTACAGTAAGTTTACAGTAAGTTTACAATGTTTACAATGTTTACAAGTTCGAGCTTGGGCCTTGGGGGATGTGACGGCTCTCCCATTCCCGATGTAGTGTCCAGTGGCTGAGGCTCCGGGCTCAAAGGGCCTGAAACACGCTATTGCTCGGATACCCAGCGATGCCAAAAGGACAATGCAGAACGACTCAGTAGTTGCGGCAGGGCTACAGACTGTAAGAGCATTGTCGGCTATGTGCTTGTCGAGACCAAGAGACCGGATCGCGGGGGTGTGTCTAAGTACGAAGCTCCCTTTCGGTAAGCTTGACTCCAAGATAGCTCAGAGAGTGCTTGTTTTCCCAGGCGCACAGATCCCGAAGATCAGAGAGCAGGTGTCTGGCCTAGACATCGATGATGAGATGTTAATCCAGTGCAGCAAAGAACTACCCATCCTAACCCAGTTACCCACGGGAGATCGAGAGCTTCTAGCTGCTTGCTCAGTCTTCACCCAACAAAACACGAACACATAGAGAACGACCAATGAAAGAAGGTTCTGGTTCTTGGTGCTTAGAATCTCCAAGATTCCAACACAAACTCTGCAACTGTGCACTCTGTCTGTGAGATGCACTTGTCATCACAGTTGTCAAGGCTTCGCAGCTTCCTTTCATCTGGAAGCCCTGGAGGCACGACCATGCGAGTTTGCCCTGCATCGAACGGTTGGCACTTGCATGCTGGTAGGCCAGCGACGCCTCCAGCTGAACTTGCGCCGAGCGAGCTTTCAGCCAGGCACCACAGGATACCTGAAGTGGAAAGAGTACATGCAAGGAGCAAGCCAGTTTCCCCTTTGCGCGTACTCTGCCCTGCCCGGATGTGCAGAGAAATGGAGAGGGGAGACGATGTCGGCTCTCATTTCAAGCACCAATGAGCTGCGATGCATCGCCGATACATCGCCGACTCCCCGTATCACAAAGAGACCGGGGACCGAAGACCACGAAAACCACGAAGACCACGAAGACCAGAAGACTCTGCGTAGGGTACCCCCAGACATACAGAGCTGCGGTTGCGGCATGCCCACATGTCCCGTTCACAGCGATACAACCAATGGGTTTGTCAGTTTTCCAGGTCCAATTTCATGGTCACCAAACAATGCTTGTTCAGGGGGAGCCCCCAAAACGGCGTGCCAGTGCCGAAGTGCACTTGTTCTTGAAAGACACTGCTGAGAGAAAGTCCAGAGAAGGCGACAGGTCGCTTCTCATCTTGGGGACCTCTGTGTCGACATGGCAGAGCCGCTTTGGTCAGGGTAGGTAATTTCATCGCTAACGCGAGGCCGCCTTGGCAAGGGTACCGAGGCGGCAGGAAGGGGTAGTGGGGGTGAGGGGGGGAAGGCGGCCGGACTGCAAGAAATGCCATTTCAACTCTTCCTACTTGCATTTCTGATTCCTGTCTTAGCGAGGACAGCAAAGGCTGTGCGTGCAGAGAACGCAGGGAGATCTCGTGGCCACGCTTTTTTCTCCACTATCTGGGGATCTAAACCGTACATGTCCGTAAACACACCTAAGCGGAAAGTCCGAAAACCTAAACGTGTTCAGCGTTTTGGGTTGAGGGTTTGTGCGAGGGGCTGAAAATCACGAAAGCTTTGCTCGTAGGATTCATGCACGGAGCGAACCAAGATGATCCATCATAGACTTCTGTGACGGCAAACATTTGCCTGCTTGCATGCATGCGAGGTCTTGGCTTCTGGGTCGTGATTGTTCACCTGCAGATGTCACATGAGCGAGCAGGGCAGAGTCGTGGCACTTCCGGAACATGGAACGTCTTGGCAAGATTTGTCGAAGTTAAACCGAAGATCTACGGTTCAGTTCAACTCTGGGCAGTGCCTCCCTTCGCCCGTGTGTTTCTAGCGTTGCTCGGCTGTCCGCTGCAGAGGAATCGAGCAGTTCCACTGCGCCGAAGCTTGAAGCTGAGCCTTTCCAGCCTAGAAAGTAAAGTTGCCTGTTGACTCTTGACCACATCGGGTTGCAAGTTGCAAAGCCATGATCAGCTTCGGCGCCGTTTCCTTTCCGATTGCTTGGACCAATAGGCTAAGAGTTGGAGTTCTTCGTGTTGCTTAAGGGAAATATGTTGTGCCATTCTATTGGTCGTTTGCTGTTTGGCGCGATGCTCTGTGCATGGAGCCCCGTCACGCCATTTGTACATAGTATGCTGCACATTTCTGCGGTTGCTTCTACTCCGGATGTGGTGCACCCTTTCCAAGTCTCATGCTGCAGCCGCAGGATTGGAGCAAATCTAGGTGTTTGGGTGCAAAGACACACGACTTTCCTTTAAGTGCTACAGAGATTGTTCGAACTCCTTGAAAATTTATGATTCAAAAGGATCCTTATCTCATTTCATTGGGCCTGTTTATATCTGGCTCTATTACGATCTTCAATGGTATCTCGTCGATGTATTGATGATTGCTCCTCTTTTTAATCTATCGTAATTCATTGTGGAAGTTCTTTTGGTTGTGAAGTACTGTGGCTGCCACTAATAAATATTCTAACGCTGGCACTGAAACGTCGTTTTGTGCGAAGTGGTATGTCGAACGTAAGTATTAGATGCAGAGATCGTGGAGCGTTGTGTTACGATGGAATTCGGATACGAATCGGTGATTTTCGAAAATTTGGAAAAATCATTTTCAATATATCTACGGATTGGATGCTTGGAAATTAGGGAAGAATTTCTACGAATGAATGATAAGGATGATCTTCGATTTTAATGAGGATTTATATATAAGATATGATTGATGGGTATTGAAAAGGGGATTTCATTTCGGATTTGGAATTTGTCTAAATTTATTTGGGG